TACCGAGAAAGTAAGATGACACAGTCCACAGGATGGGAGAAGGTCTTTGCAAAGAACATATCTGATAAGGTACTAGTACCCAGAATATATAAAGAACTCTTAAAATTCAACAGTAGAAAGACAAATATCCCAATTTAAAAATGGGCAAAGGATCTGAGTAGACATTTCCCCAAAAAGATATACAAATGGCCAATAAGCACATGAAAAGATGCTTACATCATTAGTCCTCAGAGAAATGCAAATCAAAACCACAATGAGATACCACTCCCCTCACTAGGATGGTTATGATCAAGAAAGACAGATAATAAATATTGGCAAGGACATCGAACTAGTGAAACTTTCTACATTGCCGGTTAGAATGTTAAATGGTGCAGCCATTTTGAAAAATAATTTGGCAGTTCCTCGAAGAGTTAAACATAGAGTTAACATATAACCCAGAAATTCCACTACTAGGTCTCTATCCATGAGAACTGAAATTATATGTCTATACAAAAACTTGTACATAGCTGTTTATACCAACATTATTCATAAGACTGAAAAATGGAAACAACCCAAATATCCATCAATTGATGAATGGAGAAACAAAATATGGTATATGCATACAGTGGAATATTATTTAGCGATTTAAAAAAATGAAACACTAATATATACTGCAACATGATTACCCTTGAAAACATTATGCCGAGTGAAAGAAGTTTGACAGAAAAGCCACATATTATATGATTCCATTCACATAAAACATCCAAAATGGTCAGTCCATAGAGACAGAAAATAGCTCAGTGGTTTTCAGGGTCTGGGGCCAGGGAAGAATAGAAAATTACTGCTAATAGAGATGGGGTGACTTTTGAGGGTAATAAAGAAAAAAGTTCTAGAATTAGATTATAAAGATCATTGTACAACTTCATGTGTATACTACAGACAACTGAATTATACACTTTCAAAGGGTAGATTTTATGGTATGTGAATAATATCTCAAAGAAAATATTAAAAGATAAATCCTGAACATGCTTGATGCTGGAAAGGTCTCCATGTCCAGAGGTCATGTCTCTCTTCAAACCTGGAATCGTGGGATAGCCTTTCTGGGCTGCAGCTGTAAATATGGCTAAACTTAAAACATTTTAGAAAATATTATACTTTTCTGTGGGGCAACTGGGGTATGGCTCATTTACCTCCCCACACTGTTCTTTCCTTTCGTTGGAATGATTGTTTATTTGTTTCCTTATTTAGGCATAAAGGAAATTGGCATAGTCAAGTATGCCATAGCATATTCAAACTATGAAATTAAATGACAATAAAATTCATCTAGATTATTTGATAATCAGCAAAACTATCGTAGCTAAAATAATGAAGAAATAATCCAAGAAGAGCATATGTTGGGAAAGGAATATTTGCTTAATTAAGAAAGGACTTTTTTCCCTAATTTCCTAGTGTTTCTCAATTGCATGACATGTTTTTCTTCACTATTTTTTTCTTTTTTGTTTGTTCCCTTAGGCCCCTATTACATTGCCTTCTCTCCAGACTGTAGTGCTTCTAGCCTTAATATTGAGTCGGGTAGATAAAATTCATTAGCTTTTGAATACCATAACTCGTTAGTGGAAAGCATGTTGAAATAAATTTGAAGTTTTGCATATTTAGAAGTAAGAGAAATGCTTCATGTTTTATGTTCAATACTGTATTCCTAAATTCATTAATATCTGTGTTTAATACTTTACTACTTATTACTGACACCAACACTGTGTTTTCACATTTGTGTATATCTGTTAACATTTTTAATTGAGTATTATTATCTATGCTTTGAGAGTATAGAAGTGGTAACTCCATGACATTTTGGGTAATTTAGCCTTTATTGTAAATTTCTTACAGACTTAATACTTTATTTGCTATAACAAAGGAAGTAATATTTATTGAAGATTAAGAATCATTGGGATGGTAAATGATAACTGTCACAAAGAGACTCCACTTTAGGTCCTCACCGGCGTCAAGTTTTTTGTTTGTTTGTTTATTTCTTGGAAACAGATCCTAAGAAGCATCAAAAAAAACCTTGTACTTACCAATGTCATAGCTCTTAGTTTTGGCTAATGAGAAGAGCAGATACTGAAAACAATGCTTTGGGAACAAGATGTTTGAAATTAGGCCTGAAAACAACGGACTGGCTTTTTCTTTGGGTTTTTTTTGTTTGTTTGTTTTGTTTTGTTTCTTAACATGTGATCCTGTGTATATTTTCTCCGGCTAGGCTTAAGAGCAGGACTAGCTGCCTCCATTGCTGGGAGTTCTATTATCAACAAAATGTTACTAGCAAACATTGACCCTTGTGGTGCGACGCCGTTTATTGACCCAGATCCAGATTCAGTGTAAGAAAATACTTTTGCACATGCTTTGTCTGGGCTTCTCTTGTTTCTGTCTTATCCTAATGTGACATTTTAAATGTATTACAATACATATGCTTCCACATACCAAAAGGATCATCAAAGCGTGTTGACCCATCTGAAATACAGCGGTTTCCATGATCTGCTCCTGGGGTAGGGCCCTTCCAACCTCCTGTCTGTCTCCGGTAGCGAGTCTGTGGTGGAATCAGGCCCTGCTCACTCTCTTGTCCCTGGAATATTTACTCACTGTCTCCTTCGTATCCACGTTGTTGCTATTCCCATCGGCCTCCTTTCTTAGTCTTGCCAAATCGATCATCATTCCACATCCAGCCTCTGAGTTTACTTATTTCAGGAAGCTTCTGGCCCACATCGACCTCTTCCTGTCTTAAACTGCTAAAAAATTGGGGGCAGTTCAATATACACTTACTTTTCCTTCCATATTTATTTTTGCCTTTATTGTACCTCATTTCTCTACTGATATCCTCAACGACAGTACCGTATTTTAAACTTTGTACTTTCCAAAGCACCTAGCAGAATGGATTAGAGCAAGTAGATTTTTGCTCAGTAACTATTTGCCCATTGATAAGAGTAGAAGTGGAAGCACCTTGCTAATGATAAAAAAAGAGGGGTATTGGCACCTGACTACAGGCCCCCACCCCGTTTGTGTGTGTGGTGAGGGGCTCATGTAGGAGAGAGAACTAAGATTTTGTTACAGTTAGTAGAAAAGCATTACCATGCCTCGGTCTCCATTTTGCCTTGCTCACCATCCCTTTATATGTTACCAAAACTTACATACATGTGCCGGGGTCATGCACATGGCCTGTGAATAAGAAGCAATTCCTGCTGAGCTTTACTCTCTATCAGGAAGGGAAGATTAAATGGTTTTAAGCGCTGTTTTGCGTATAAATTGTAATTTTATGAACCTGAAATTGACTTTTATGTACTTTTCCTTATTATCATAGAGATGGATATTCAGAAAAATGTGTCATGAACAATTACTTTGGGATTGGATTAGATGCAAAAATTTCATTAGAATTTAATAATAAGAGAGAGGAGCACCCTCAAAAATGCAGGTAATTTGGTAATAGTAATGTTATTACATGAAGGTAATTTTACTTTAATTTCATTTATTACTTCTTTTGCTCTCTCTGCTTTTAAAGAGTAGATAAATGATAGTCACTGAAATTACCTGCCAACGTATATTTTCAGGAGCCGAACTAAAAACTTGATGTGGTATGGAGTCCTTGGAACCCGGGAATTATTACAGAGGTCGTACAAGAATTTAGAACAGAGGGTTCAACTTGAGGTAAGTTCATTTGAAGTAAAGACATTTCATGTTGTCTCACTTTGTGGAGTGAATGTGGCCTAAATTCCTCTTGATTCGTGTTTAAACACAGAAGGGGAAAATGAAAGTAATTATCCACTGTCTACTAAAGAAGGTATAGACAGACACTAGATACGAGTGACACACTTAATTATGATTATCATTGGCTCCTGAAATTTGGATGACAATGTTGAGTCACAGGATCCCGTTGAGTCACAGGAGCCATGGGAGTACATTTATAGGAAAGCATTTTTAATGGATTTTCTCATTTAAGTTTTCAAATTCTGATCCAGCTGTATAATGCCTCAAGTTTCACGAATCCCTGAAAATAACATTCATCATAAATAGGACCTTTTAATATAAATGTATTTTTGTTCCAATTATTTCTAACAAGTTAGTAAAAGAAAAAGGAATTGTGAGCATTTAAGTTTTTTAGTATTTTTCACTAATTTAAATAAGAAATTAAGGACAGCAAAAGGTATTTAATCTCCTCCAATAACAGGAAAAACAAGGTTGGTGACATGGCTTTGGAAAGTCTACTGATTTCTGTGAATTAATGCTGATAGGCATGCCTTTCCTATCTTGTATATTTTTATAATCAGATATTTCTAATGAAGGGATATTCTGTTGCCCGAACAGTGAACAAATCCTAAGTCTACAGCTCATTGAATTAAACAGCATTATTATTGTGGGTATTACCTTAACACTGCAGACTAAAGAGGTGCCTGGCTCACTCGTTACCAGCTGAATGTTCCAGTAAAGATAAGCATCTTGCACCTTCCACTCTAGAGCATGACTGCTTGATCAGCTAGCTTGCTGTATCAATGCTTGTAAAATTAAGGTAGATGTTATTGGCTGAAAAGGTACAAAATCTGTAGGGTTCACACCTAGTAAACACTGTCCTTGTCAACCCCATCCCCAGATCATCTTGGGCTCTTTCCTATGTATTGTGCTGTAATCATTCATTTTCTTATCCATGTCCCTTAGCCGGCCACACTCTCCTTAAGGACAGGTAGGAAGTTACAGTCCTCTTTGTTATCCCCAGTGTCTTGCACAATTCCTGGCCCTGTCTCGAGGGAGAGATAGACAGGTACATAATCATTTTACCATCATTTGGTAAATACTGTGATTAAACCCTATAGCCAGCTATCTTTAAAATTTAAGGAACTATTGGGAATCAGAATGGTTGAATTGTCTTTATTTCTTCAGCTCTTCAGAAATAGTATTTCTAGCCTTTTCTACTGGTGGTCCAAATTTTAAACAAGACTGACTTACACAGCTGCATTTCTTTTACTCTCCATTGAACAGGGTTTCTTAACTCTTGGGCTGTGGACTCCTCTGGCCTGCTGGTAAAACCGTGGACCTCCTCCCTGAGTATTATTTTTAAATGCATGTACAAAAGATACCAATAATATTACAATAAATTAATGAAATTAAGAAATTTAGATGGAACTTACTTACGAAAATGTTCATTTTTCATAGCATTTATTTATAAATCTTGAAGACAGCTCCGAATTTTTTAATTTTTCAATTTATATTTTAGTTTTTAAATTTTTGTTTCTTCAAACTAAAAAAATTAAATCACCCATTTCTGTCATTTCCCATCCCTGCATCTTGTAACCACCAATCTCTTTAGTTATTCAAATTATATGCCTCCAGCTTTGTTCTTCTTTCTCAAGATTGCTTTGGTTATTTGGGGGGAGGGTTGTGGTTATATACAAATTTTAGGATTGTTTGTTGTAGTTCCGTGAAAAATGCCATTAGAATTTTGATAGGCATTGCATCAAATCTCTATATTGCTTTAGGTAGTATGGACATTTTAACAGTATTAATTCATTTAATCCATGAGCATGGACCATCTTTCTATTTACTTGTGGCTTCTTCAATTTCCTTCATTAACATCTTTTAGTTTTCAATATACAGGTCTTTCACCTCCTTGGTTAAATTTATTTCTAGGTATTTTATTCTTTTTGATACTATTATAAATGGGATTATTTTCTTAATTTCTCTTTCTGGTAGTTCATTATTGGTGTAAGGAAATGCATCAGATTTTTGTGTATTGATTTTGTATCCTGCGACTTTGTTTTATTAGTTCTAACCGTTTTTGAGGGAGTTTTCAGAGTTTTGTATATATAATATCATGTCATCTTCAAATAGTGACAGTTTTCCTTCCTCCTTTTCAATTTGAATGCCTTTTATTTATTTTTCTTGCCTAATTGCTCTGGCTAGGACTTCCAACAATATGTTGAAGAAAAGTGGTGAGAGTGAAAATCCTTGTCTTGTTCCTGATCTTAGAGGAAAAGCTTTCAGCTTTTCATCACGGAGTATTATGTTAGCTGTGGGCTTATCATATATGGCCTTTATTATAAAATCTTTAAGATTCCTCTGAATTGTTTTTTAAAATACTTGTTTTATATTTATAAAGATGGATATTTTTTCCATTTTCTTTAAGTTAGTTATATGATTTAAACATTTTCTAAAATGAGTTCATTGGTTTCAGAGAAAGTTTATTAAGTACTTAATAAACTTAGTTATTAAGTACTAAATACTTAATGTTCATTCCTTTAACAAATACACATTGAGCACCAGCTATGTGGCAGGAACAGCCCCTGGTGCTGGAATACAGTGTGGACCTTCGAATGTGTTTTCATGAAAAAGTAAAGGAAGGAATTGTAAAAAAAAAAAGCCTGTGCAGGTAAATCGAGTATAATGTATTCTCAGTTTTTCAAAATGGTTGAAAAATGGGTTCAAACAGAATTTTCATTTGTTCTAAAGACTGCAGATAATTTTGATTGGTCATTAAAATGCAGTTTTTATAAAGTTACATTAATTATTTTTAGTGCAAGAATTGTATGATGAAAATTAGCATTTAAGTGTGACATCTGCAGGCTTTACTCTTAAAATTAAGGCTTAAACCTTCTAGTCAGTAAAGAGTTTATTCACATGTCATGTATAATTACTTCTCCACCTATATGATATTTTTCCCTTACTTAAGTGACAATTTAATTTTCGTCTAAGTGATGAATTAACAGGCCTGGAGTATAAGATACTTACCAATGTACGTGTAGTGATTTTGGTTTGGGTTCTACTTGAAAAACTTAGTGTTTAGTTTTAGCAGTCACTACGCACCACCAAAATACCATGAGTTGTGAGAGATTCTGGATGAGATGATTAGAACGCAGAGTTCCACCCTCACAGAAGCTGCTTTCAATAGAATGCTTAAAATAAGTACAAAGATAACCATAATACAAGTGAGAATATCATCAGTGACCTGGGGAAAAAAAACTTTAAGAAAAGTACTGCCTGATTTTGGTTGAAAGAAGAGGTAAAAATATTTTTTTGGTTTAGTTTGGTTTTCTGTAACAATTTTTGCTATAGCTATTTACACTTTAAAAATTTTTTATTTAAAAAAATAAGATAAAGGTAATGTGTAGGAATATATTTACAGGAGAGCACACATTACCAACACATTTTCCTCCATCATCCCTTGTCTTTGGTATTCTTATGGCTTCCAACCTAGTGGTTTTGCTCCTTATATGTAACCTCTAAGCTTTTTCCCTTACAGTGTGATGGGCAGTATATTCCTCTCCCCAGTCTGCAAGGAATAGCAGTGTTGAACATTCCCAGCTATGCCGGAGGCACCAACTTTTGGGGTGGAACTAAAGAGGATGATGTAAGTATTTCCTTGCTCTTTCCAGATTCTAGAGGCTGTCCACGTTCCTTGACTTGTGGCTCCTTCCGCCATCTGCAAACCCAACCAAGGCAGCTTGAGCCCTTCTCACATTACATCATGCTGCTCTCCTCCTCCGCCTCCCTCTGCTACTTTTAATACCCCTGTGATTACACTGGGCCCGCCCACGTCATCCAGGATAGCCTCCCCAGCTCAAGGTCTCTAATTTGATCCCATCTGCAAAGTCTCTTTTGTTACATAAGGTAACACGCACAGGTCCTAGGGATTCGAACATGGACATTGTTGGGGTGGAGAGGGGGGTGTTAGTCTACCTATCAAAATATCTTTCTTTACTTTCAATTTTCTAAATTTATGTGTTATTATTTTTTTTATTTTTAGAAATGTTAAGAAGGCTTATTTCGCCATTGAGGTTTAGGCTATTTTTGATTGCTTTTTATAGTTTCCTATAATAAAAGGAAAAAACCAACCTAACAAATGTAATTATTCTAAAAATAATATTTAAAAAGAGAGGGCACAATTGTTAAAGTGTATGTAACATAAAAATGAGAAGTGTTATCACTATCTTGTGTGAATAGTCACACACACTGAATGATAGGCCCTCTGATTTGAGGCTTATAACGGTTCCCACTGATCCATTTTCTCAAGGCTTTTAAATAAACAGACAGGGATTAAAGTAAATTGGAAAGTATTTGTAATTTTCATGATATGAATATATTCCAGTCCTATTGGTATATAAAAACTAACATTAAGCAGTCAGTGTTTTTCTCAGCGTTTCACTTCTCTTAAATATTTTAAGAGGAAGAAATCAGTGAGATTAAGCTCAATAAAGCTACCCTTCCTTGAACATTAACTAGGTAGCCAGACACTGTTCTGAGAGCTACACATGCATTATTTCATACCTACAATTTTTATCTAAATTTTACCAATGAAGAAACTAACAGTAAGCGCACACAGTTAATAAGTAGCAGGGACAGAGTCTAAAGCTAGGCAGGCTGATAACAAAAATGATAAGAAATTATGAATGTTTGCACATTTGCCTCTTGATATTTCAGTGAAAGTTTTAATTAGGATACTACTTTATACTGAATAATTTTTTTCAGAGGCATAATTATTTATGAATAGTAAAAAGAGTAAAGCGGACAAAGTACTACAGGTGAAATTAAAATTTTTAGGTTAAATTAATTTTGTGAAAATGCGGTTAACCTCAAAGCAAAGTAAGCCTACGTGCTTTTTATCTCCTGAGGTTTCTATTTCCCATATTCTCCAATGCTCTAAAAAGCTCTTGTATTATATGAAGATATAAAGCACATCTACATACTGCGTGTAATCGTGAAAGATTTCCCTCAGAACACACCTAGTGAATTGGATCAATACCTGCACGCTCTTTAGCTTTAACCTTATGAAGTCTGTATCACCTTTCAGGTTTTTTAGGTTCCTTAAAATTACGTGCTTTATTTTATCAAGACATCTGAGTTATGTCTGAACAGATATTTAATATGTTTCATACCAAGATGAATCATTTGGAAATATAACAGTTTACTAGCCCCAAGAGTGCTTTATAAGGGGCATGAATATTATAGCCACATGGGTCCTAAACTCTTTTTTTTATTATGTTTGTTTGAAGATACGCGTTAGTGATTTTTTTTGTCCTTGGATTGTCATGTCCTAGTAACATTAACTTACTTTTCTGCTTACTATTTTTATGTCCTTTTAAAACTATGCCTATTGCAGAGTTTACCTTGCTTGATGCGCCACTTTACTTAAACCTTAGTTTCATTAGTTGAAGTGTAATGTAGTTTTTCCTTTCAGATATTTGCTGCACCATCATTTGATGACAAGATCCTGGAAGTCGTTGCAATATTCGACAGTGTGCAAATGGCAGTTTCAAGGGTCATTAAACTGCAGCATCATCGAATAGCCCAGGTTTGTTTTTCTCATTGGACCTGACCCTCACTACCTGGGCCACTGGGGAGCTATTTCAAATGACTCCTGTGTATTCACCTATAAAATATTGACTCTCTTGTTGTGTTAGTTATTGCTGTGCTGTCGTAAGTGGGAAAGAATGGACCATGGTCAAGTGTGAATGCAGGCTGCGTGTCAACTCCCCAGGAGGATTTGAACTCTTAACAGAACTTGTTTTATTTCAGTGCCGTACAGTAAAAATCACTATACTTGGTGATGAGGGCGTCCCCGTGCAGGTGGATGGTGAGGCGTGGGTCCAGCCTCCAGGCATTATCAAAATCGTGCACAAAAACAGGGCTCAGATGCTCACAAGGGACAGGGTATGTGACCACAAATATTCTAGATTTTTATCAAGCCTTTTTAAAAAATGTTAAATTGTTATGAAAAAATAGAAGCCAAGGAAAAAAGATTTAAATTGTCTCTTAAATCTGACAGTGAAGCCATTGTGGTTTTAAATATGAACAAATATTTCTATAGTTTTTTAAAAAAATTAATGGATTAAGTTTTTTTACATCTACAGAAAAATTGAGCAGCAAGTGCAGAGAATTCTAATTCTGTTCCCACACACCTAATCTCCTCCTCAGAAAACACATAATTTCTTCTATTGTTTAGCATCTTGTATAAGTACATTTATTACAGTTGATGAGCCAATCATTGACACATTGTTATTAACTCAAATCCGTAGTTTACATTACTGTTGGTGGGGTACGTTCTGTGGGTTTTGACAGATGTATGATCACTTGTATCCACCACTACAGAATGATAACAGAATAGTTTCACTGCCCTAAAAATGTCTTACCCACCTTTCCACATCCCTCCCTGCCTTACCCCCGCCTCTGGCAACCACTGATCTTTACAGTATCTCTATAGTTTTGCCTTTTCCAAAATATGCATTTTTAATGTAACACACATAAAAAATAAGACTGCCTATATCTATCCTATTATGCATATAATAGTAAAGATTAAAGCTGTCTTTTTTTTTTTTTTGCTTTTTAGCAATATATTCACCATCATCGATTACATTTCTCTTTATTTATTGCAATACACTGGGAAAGTATATTTTTCGTACTTACGATTTATTTCATGAGGTGCTATTTAGAAAAAAGCAATAGTAGTTTCAAAGTCATTCATATAATATCTAAATACACATTTATTTGGACCTCAGAACTCTAACAGTTCATTGTAATATTGATTTTAAATAGGCTTTCGAAAGCACTCTAAAATCGTGGGAAGACAAACAGAAGTGTGATTCGGGTAAACCCGTCCTTCGGACCCATTTGTACATCCAGCATGCTGTTGACTTGGCATCGGAGGAGGTGTCGCAGATGCAGCTGTGCTCCCAGGCTGCAGAGGAGCTCATCACCAGGTGGGGCGGTCCTGCTGGCTTGTGGGCTGAGAGTGCTGGTCTGGGCCACTTGTTTGATTGGCTTTAGTACATCATTTCTGTTGTTTGGGGTATCTGAAAGAGATGCATTTACTCTCCTCCATTTTTCACCTCAACACTGGCTGCTTCCCGTCATCAGGGCCCCTCCAACAAGGGCGTCTTCACCCCTGTGTCCTGCACAGAGCAGACCTGGGACTTCCCGAAGCACGTGGGAGCTTGCCTGATGTACCCACCACACAGCACTCTCCGTTACTGTTTATTTCCCCAGTTTATACACAGTCTTCACACCACACGACTCACTTATACATTGCTTATAATTATTAATTAAATGTTGATGGAATGTTGAAGGAAATAGAAACATTAATTAACCCCGCTCCCGAGGACAGGCAGGGGGTGAGGATGGGGGCCGGGGAGAAGAGTCCAAGAATCAGTCTCCGACAAACGTATCACAGATTGCAAGACTACACAAATTAATTTTAGTAGGCAGGGAAGAGATAAACACCAAGTTTTATGAGTGTAAAATAGATCAAAGTCAGCATGGCCGGGAGTAAACTTCAGAAGGAAGGTGGGACCATGGACAAGTTTCTTATTTCCTCTTTACCTAAATCTTCTCTACCAGATGGGGATAGTAAGAGCCACCTTATCAGGTCGCTGTGAATGGTAACTGAGACACGCCGTGGACAGCCCTCTGTAACATACCGTGTCTGGTGTTCAGTAATGGTAGCTGTTACATTCTTCCGGCACCTTCATCTGGTCACTGATTAAAATGTAGAGAAGGAACAGAAGAAAAACAAAGCTCAGTGGCACTAGGGGCGCACTCTCTCGCTTTCCCCTCCTCCTCCGCCCGCTGCTCTCCCCTCTCATTCTTTATTCTCCTCTTTAGATATTTGTCAGACGCCTAGAATACACTGGACATTAGAGAGAGAAAAGATACACACTCCCTACTGCTAGAAAACAAGATTCAAAATTAGAATAAAGTATGATAACTGCCAAGTACTGAGTAGCTTATATAAACATAGGGAAAATGACTATTAGCTAAATCCACCTAACTGCATTACTGTCCATCTTAACTTCTCATTCACAGCGATAGTAGTTTTAGAGTAAATACGCCTCTTTTAGGTTCTACGGACAACTTCTATGGATTCCAATTTACAGTGCCCTCCCCACACCGATTTATTGAAGTATAATTGATACAAAAATTGTATGTATAATATTTAAGGTATACAATGTGATGACTTGATATATGTATACACTGTAAAAAGGTTACTGCAATCAAGCTAATACATACATTATGGAAAACAGTATGGAGGTTCCTCAAAAAAAACATAAAATAGAACTACAGCATTTTCTTGAAACCAAAATATGCTCCCTTGAAACCAAAATACACTTCCTATATTATCATCCTGTCAACTAACCAAATAACCTTATTTAAAAAAAAAAAAAAAAGAAGTAAAGCTTGGCCAGACTTGGTTTTGGTCAGACTAGTTTGGTTCCCCATCTGTTGTTTTAAATTTTGCAAAAGATGAAAATCAGGCTTACTCGTCAGCTTTCACAATTTATTCATTCAATATTTAACAAGTATTTTTGAGCCTCTTCTGTGTGCCAGCCACTGTTTTTGGCACCGCATTTGGCACTGTGTTGCAGCCTCACTTCTTAATTTACTGGCAGAGGAGTAGGAGGGAGAAGTGTGGCTGAAGCACTGTCACAGGTCACTCGGTGGGCACTGTGGTCACACGGGATGCCAGAGGGAGGCAGTGAGCGGCGGCCACCTGGAGGAAGTGGTCTGTCCGCTGAGTCTTGAGAGAAGAGTAAGAGAAGGCGCTAGCTCAGCATGGGAGCAAAGGCCCAGGGAGTGTGAGGGCCTGGTGCTTTCTGAAAAGCTCAGGAGTTTGGGGTGACTGACACATTGGCATGGTGTATTTGAGAGTGTGGAAAATGTTGGAGAGCTGAGGAGGGCCACATCTTTATCAGGGTGTTTTCAGAAACGGTGGGGAGCGCTGTCTGCAAGGCAGCAAAGATGGCGCAGGGAGGGTCTTGATAGGAAACGGTGGCTTGAGGCAGGAGAGACGGAAGGAGAAGAGCGATTGAAGATGGGTTGGGATCTGAAACTGGGAAATGGGTGTGAATTAGGAGACGGGATGACTCTCAGGCTTCTGGTGAATGGCTGGCTGGATGGTGGCCTTTTGACGGAGCCATAATAATACTCAGGAAGAGGAGCAGACTCTGAGAGCATGAGGGGTTCCATGTCGGACTACAGAATTTCAGTCACGTTATAAATACCTACGAGTTTCGGTTGGCAGTTGAAAATGTTGACCTGAAGTTGATTTACCTCTTTCGCTTTCTTCGAAAATTAGAATAACATTTACTCATCTCTGTTCTTCTAATAAATAACCTATTCTTCATGATTTCTCAAGGTCATTGGTAAGAATCCTGAGATGACAGTTGCCAGTTCCTTTAGGCCTTGGATATCACTCGTATGACCCCTAGACATTACACTCTTCCTTTTACTCTTGATTCAACTCTGCAGGGCTTCTGCCTGTTCTTTTGTTCTACCCTTTCCAGATCAAAGATTCTTCTCCCTGAAGATGTGAGAAGTGAAAAGGGTTTGAAGAGCCTTGCCTTCTTGCTCATCTGCAAACGTTCTTGCTCGTCTGCAAACCCTACATCATTTTCTAGCATTGGCGGAACGCCTCCCCATTCCCCTCTTGGGCCTCAACGCCCTCCAGGACTGTCTGTCTTTTCTAAGACTCTTCGTGAAGGCTTCCATTCCAGAGGACTGTGGCATAACAGGCACTGGAGTTGGATAGACATAGATTCAAATCCCAGCTCTGTCACTTACTAGCTGTGTGTACATAATGGATCTCTCTGAGCCTCAATGTCTTCATCTATGAAATGGAGAACATTAATCACAGCTACCTTTAAAGTTGTGAATAGTGAATTAGGTAATGTATGTAAAGCACATAGCATATAGATGATAAATATGGCAGCGTTCTTTCCCTAATCTAGTGTATTTATTCCCAGTTAAAGTTTCAATGAATAAAAGATAAGTTTCTACCTTCTACATTTGGGACCCCTTTCACTTTCCAATGATACCGCAAAATGAAGTGTGACTATAGTTTGCTTTTCCAAGTAGCACCTCAATATATTTATCTCTGGTTCTGACTTGTTATAGGAAGATTTTTGGTGTAGTATTCTTTGTTGCAGTAGGGTTTGAATTTTGTAAATCCTCTGTGCCGTTCATAATCGAGCAGTCATTTTTAAAAAAAATTACCCTTAACGACCTTTTTTTTGTTTTACTTGGTTTATTTTACCACTTGTACCCTTCAGAAAAATCAGCAGTGCTCAGAAAATTTTTTTGTTCATTTGTTTTGTTTTCACTCCTAGGATCTGTGACGCAGCCACGATCCACTGTCTTTTGGAGCAAGAACTGGCCCACGCGGTGAATGCCTGCTCCCACGCGCTGAATAAAGCCAACCCTCGGTTCCCAGAGGTGAGGAGCTCATGGTAAATTCTCATTCACAGATTTTTTAGTGTTACACATATATCTGGATACTATAAAATGTGCCATGCCCTTGGAAAGTGCATTATGTAGTCTACATGAGTCTCTGCCAGAAGTTTATGGTAAATTTGTGACCAAATTTTTCATTTATTTTCCTCTTCCTGCCATTCTTCCATTCCTGCTCTTAAATTCTCTTCATTTTTTCTGTTTCACTTTCAACCACTTGTCACCTTGCCACGGCCCTTCTACTCCGTCTCCCTTTAACTACTATCATTCCTCCTTCCCCTACACCGCGCTACAGCGCAAACCTAGGTAGCATGCACTTTATGAAAGACGTTCATTCGTTTTTGAAGTTGTGCACTGAAATTATTTTTGCTCCATTTTTCTTTTACTAAATTGATAAATTTAGTACATTTTTTACGTAGAAGTTATAAAATTTTGTAACGTTTGTAAATTTTTAATGTCAAAGTGAACAGGATGGATAGAGTATAGCTGTCATTTATGATCCATGGTAAAAGGCTATAGTGTAGAGAAAACGGATAGCATTATTTTATTCTTTTAATTATTCAATGGAAGCTACCTAAATTAATATACCAATAAGCCCTCAAGATTAAAGTCTAAAAGGCAATCAGGTTGGAACTACCAAGAGTTACGGATAGAATTAATTATGATCAGATAATGCCCCGTTTAGAATGTAATTTTCTTTGACTTAACTTTTTTATGGGACTATGTACACGCTGTTGCCAGCATATAAATGATTGTATGTAGGACATGTCACCCCGAGTGTATTCACTATGGCCAATACATTTTCTTGGTTCTGTGATCTAAGAATTAGAAGAGTAATTATACTAATAAATATGACTGAAATTGTGCAATTATAGTAGAATTTTGGTAGATTTTAAAAATATATTTGTTACGTGGATTTAAATTGGAAGAATAACATTTTAAGTATTTGCTGATGATTGACTCCCAATTTAATACAGAGCTACTCATCTTTGTTGTTTTTGTTTTTTTTATTATTACTCCCTAGAGCCTTACCAGAGACACTGCCACTGAGATAGCCATCAACGTGAAGGCACTGTATAATGAAACGGAATCTTTACTAGTTGGCAGGGTGCCTTTGGTAAGGAAACGAACTGACTGATCACATAAGAATGGTGGTGAATGTGTGGGTCTGACCTCATTCTGAGCAAGTATTCATCAGGTTCTAATGCAAAGCAGCCCCTGGCCTCCACCCTTAGAGCTTCCTTTTTACCCGGTTTGCCTTCAAGAAAATACATGGCTACCCCCACGAGTTATGGCTCAGGCTAACCAAAGGGGAGCTTTCCCCTTCTATATGCCAACTTGTGTTTATATAATCCTGCTCTCCCCCGTCAGTTTGAGAGACCTGAGCTTTAGAAAGTGTAATAGGCATTTTCCTCGGGTATCATAAACTCATTATTGCAGAAAAGTAGAGGAAATCATAGGTTTGTTCTCAAAAGTAACCTGTAAGTATGATTGGTATGGCTTTCTAGATTTGCTTAAAAGACGACACTCTCTAGACTCAAGAGTTTCAAGAACTAACCATTTCCCTAGATGAGTTCAGATTGGTGCTGGAAACCAAGTTTAGGCCAAGTCTGAATCTGACCACAGTCCACGGGCCTCAAGCATCAGTGCCGAAGACCACAGGCCTCCTGTTTGGGTCTCCCAGAGTCCTTGCCTGGTCAGCCTCCCAGTGTTCTAGCTGCTAGCATGTTGGGTCTGCTCGCCACCTAGCGTTCGACTGTGAGCTCTCCACACGTGCTGCTGGAGCTCTGTAGGAAGCCTAATGCATTCAGCTGTTTTTTCCTTTCTTGTAACAATTCTGATTAATTGACAGGTGATGGTTTTAAAACATTTCTCTCGACTGTGATTTTATCTCTTGCTTTGCAAAATTTGTACACTTAAATAAAAGTGATAGTGAAAGTCACAGTATCTTGCACAATGGGAGAGTGGGAGGCACATCACATAGCCCAGTAACTAAGAAGGGACTATGGTTGGAATTCGTTTGATTGGGATGAGAGTGGGGGGTACCACCCCCAGAGCATCCTTTACTCAGAACAGAGAATCTCAAAGCTGCACAAAGTCCATTGCCCTCACCCACCTCTTGAGGGAACTGAAATACAAGTTCCTTAAGGCAAGAGGTCGCTACCCCTGCTATGGGCATGAAGAAAAATTTTTAAGGAGAAACACTGGTTACATCTTTTGACAAAATTAGTGGGAACATCTTCTTGGCTATTCTTGGTACTTCTGTTATTAACCAGAATCATTGTATTTTGCTCTTTAAAATTAGTCCTATAGGAAATTCACTGAGCTGTGACTTTGGTCCCAATTTTTGGATGGAGCACATGTACTTTTTGTGTTATTTGAAGTACATTTCAGATAATTTCTGATTGACAACATCTAGAAACACAACTTCTTCTATATTTTAGTTCTCTACACTGAAAGTATTCGAGTGTTATTTGGTTAATATTTATCAATTATATGAGGTTAATAAAGAAGGACCGTCCTTCACTTCTAATTGTTCTGTCAAGTATGTTTAATTGTCAAATATGAATGTTTGGTTTAAAATGTATACCAGTGAATTTTATCAAAACCTTTGACAATATTGATATCACAATAATCGATCATATTTAAGAGCAACTAAGGTTTACTCTTTGAGTTCACAATTAATATGCAATAACCATTTCATATAAGACATACATTCTTAGATTAAAAAGAAAGTGGCAAATTTTATATAATAGGGTGAAGAATCTCAATATATTTATTAACTACCATAAATGCTAGCTACCTGAAATAACAAGGTGAAAAAATAATGTCCAAAATAAATAAGTTACATTCTCTCTGAACTTTCTGTTTAAAACTCTGTGAACCTATATGTAGTATTCTACAATTTTAAAGTTATTTATAAAAGCATTGATTAGCTGGCAGAGACCTTAGAAATAACCTAGTCACAGTCTACTGTTTATTGAGGAGGAAACTCCGACTCCTAAAATCAACTAACCTTCCTTTGATTGCATAGTTGCTACCAAGGCCAGGACTAGAATTCAATCACCTCCCAGTTCTGCACATACCAGTGTTTATTTCATCTTTACTCATTTATTGAATTTGTAAGTGCTTTTTAATAACTGCTCTGAATGGGTGGATAATAGGTGACCTTTAATTCTTTTTAAAGCTTCCAAATCCTCTTCCAGACTACAAGCCATTTAGCTTTTTGCTTTGCCCTGATTTTTACAATAGCTTTTCATCCCCAGTTTTTCTGAGATCCGTAGGACGTTTTTTCCTTAAACTTACTATTTTAATTCTCCAGATTTTTGTGCAAAGTAAGTCTTACTCTCAGATGGATTTTTGACCAATTTTTAAAAATACTATTGTTTATTCACCTAGTATGCAAATCAGAATTTTTGCCACAAATAAGTATAGTAATGCGATTTCTCACTGGTGTAAAAATCACACCAGCTACTTATATCATCTATGGGAAGTAAGGATCGATCTATCTAGATTTTTTTTAGTGAACTCAATATAAGATAATTTGTTCTTTTTTTAACATTCCTTTATATTAAAAACAACTCCTGCAGTAACAGCAGCCTAGCCTAGCCTAGTCAGAGATGAGGATGTTCGTTGTCAGAATCATTTATTCTACATGAGGTCGGGCACTGAGCCTTGTTTTCTTTGATTTTCAATCTGCTGGTAAATAGCAGTTGGAATCTCCACACGAAGAGCGGGTCTCCAGTGCCTTACATTCTGTGGAGGTGGAGCTACAGAAATTAACCGAGATCCCCTGGCTGTATTACATCCTGCACCCCAACGAGGATGAGGTACGTCACACTCAGCCTGTTTCCTTAGACACGGAGACTTCATGACGGTTGACTGTAAGCGCATCTTTTGTAAGAGATGCTCAGGGCCAAATGCATTCTGAGGACTGCCTTCGTTGGTACCGTCCTGGAACCCGCGACAGAAGGCTTTTATGGGAACCCAGGCAACTTATGGGACTTGGTCCGTTTTCAGTGGACGTAACTCTGAACTTTTCTCAAGAAGTTCTCACGTCAGCAGTGTTTTGTTTGTAACCTGTTCCTGTGTCACTTCTAATATTAGATTGAACTTGCCTTCTCTTCCTCTCCTGAGAAAAGTCTTCGCTTGTTCCATTTGAACAGGAGCCTCCTATGGATTGCACCAAGAGAAACAACAGAAGCACAGTATTTCGCATAGTGCCAAAATTTAAAAAGGAAAAGATGCCCAAGCAGAAGACAAGTGCACAGCCTGGTAGGTGGTCCACACCAGTCGGGAAAGTATAACACTGTGGAGAAATAACTCATTAAAGTGATACCACTGAGGTGATTAGAATGTTCTGGAGCTAGACAGTGGTGATCATCGCACGACGTTATAAACGTACAAAATGCCACTGAATTGTCCACTATTAAAAGGTTAAAATGGTGAGTTGTATTTAATGGCTCATTTTACCATAATAAACTATGTCCACATATCAGTAGGAGTTTGTAGTTATGAAGAAGCACACAAGAAAACAAGGTGGTTGCTGATTGGCTTCTATGTTTGGTAGATGTCAGTGCATCTGTTTAGATGCTTTGTTATCTTGCTCAACAGCAGTTTAAGGCATCAGCGTGTAGCTTGTTTTTCTTCATCAAAATTCAAAAATCTAGACCATTTTGATAAATGGAACATAGAAACTTGCATATAATCCTTTAGCTTGCTACATGTATTTTCCACCTAAAATTATATAATCTGTCCTGTTTAAGGATTTATTACACCATTTCAACCCCTAGGTCATGACAACCTATGTGACATTTGCGTTCTCAGAAAGATTAAACCCTCTCTTTGAAGTTGTCTTCCTGGCTCCCTTCCCACCGTTCCCTAGAGATTCAGTTTAGTGCTGAAGCACCTTCAGGCTCTGTGTATCTGATAGCTGGTGCTTTTCACAATGAAATCAGTTCGTAAGTCTTCTGAGTTAGCGTTCTCATTTGAGAAAGTGATACATAATCTGATTTTTGACCACCATAGACCACCAGCTATTGAAGGACATTTTACAATAAAATGTGGCAAATAGGTAGGCTTTTATTAATCTAGTCAATGTTGAATAAGATGTATAAAAGAATGATTGTACATATGAAAAACAGCAGTCTTAGAGGGTTGTGTGGACAGATTCTAGATGACATTAAATCAATTTAACAATACATTTATTTTTATAATTATCAGTAGTAACAGAATCAATACAGGCAGCAGTCGAAGTCAGCAAGACCTGAAGCAGAAGTTTGTGTAAAATTGAGTACCCCATGTCAGATTTTAAGTTTTAATTAGCACTTATAGCTAATTAACTTATAACTAGTTTCATACTTGGTCTTAAGGAAATCATCAGAGCTTATTTAGATCTTGAACACCTGATCCTAATTGTGAGAAAGACATTTTTTTATACATGTTGTGTAGGTTGGGTGGCTTTAAGGAGGAAATTGAGCTAAAGCTACGGGCTGAGGTGCTCTGCCGCGAATGTCTTTGTGTAGTCAGATCCTTGTGCTGACTGATGGCCTGTAACCTGCATGGGAGAAAATGGAATTGTAGTTTTGTTCAAACAGCACCTTTAACCTTTACCTTTGCTAGCACTGCTGCTGTACTCTGTTTTGCATCTTCTTTGGCCAACCTTTCCTTTGTAATGCATTGAGCATGTAGAAATTAAGGGGGTTTTGCTCTTAACTTTGGTAGTTCAGAAATGGGGCACAGAGGAAGTTGCTGCTTGGCTGGATCTGCTCAATTTGGGAGAGTACAGAGAAATCTTCATCCGCCATGACATCAGAGGGGCTGAACTTTTGCATCTGGAAAGGCGAGATCTGAAGGTATTTCCTTTGTGCTACCCTTCTGCTCTTGAAATTTTTCTTGCAAAACAGAATCTTGTCTCCTGTGCCTCTTCTGTTACGTGCTTATAGCTTGGCTTATGTTACGCAAACGTTCATAATCTAATACGCATTGCCCTGTGGTCTGAATTCCTTGTATGCTTTTCACACAGTGTCAGCAATGTTTTCGTGTCAAAATCATTCTCCTACTATTATGGCTAAAGCTTAGCATGACTTCAGTAATTTTTCTCTACTAAAATTGGTATGGCTGTTCCTATGTGCTAATGTTTTTAAATGGATCTTGTTTCCATTGGCTCATTCTATTGGATCAGCATGAAAGATGGTCATTGTTGCTGTAAGTGACTTAAAAAAAACTAATATAAGGTTAACAACTAAAAATTAATTAAAAATACCAATAACAAAGCCTTTCTAATATATGGAACTAAATGAGACACTTACAGTCCTATGATTTTGTTGCATTTCTAAGTTGACCTTTCAGATGTCACAGGAACAACTACACCAATAAATTCAAGTTTCCTTTCCAGGACTTACTGTTACAATTGTATTATTCTCAAAAACAAACTTAAATTATTTTTTTTAGTAAACGAAATAAAAATTTTGCCTAGCTTTTACTAGACAGCAGCTCAAAACCTACTTGTTATTTATGATGGAGAAGGAAAATCATTAGTTCATGGTCTTTAGTGAATCCCTTTAATTACTTGGGTGGAGACTCAACAGTAGAAATGGCCGAAGTAGGCTATTCGGTCCTAGGGTTGGTTAGGAGCAGGGTTTGGTCATGTTGTATTTTCTTACTACATGTAGCCATTTAAAAATTCCAAGATTGCTGAATAAACAAGTGACAAAGCCTTCAACATTTGTTGGAGTGATCCTTTCCCTGTAGGCCAAGTTCTGAAATGCATAGAATTCTGATACAGTTAAGTTCCAAACAAATTCATGAACTGTTGTGCGTGTATCTACAAGTATGTTAGCAGGGATCTTTGAACAGTTACGGGTAATGTAAAGTATAGATCTTTGTAATGCAGAGTCATACAGCCTCAACACATCAAAAGTGAACACCACATTTTTAGCCAGAATAATAATAAAATGATAGGTTAATTAATTACCTTAGTTGAGAGTCCCAAATCTGGAGCACAGCAAAAGACACGGTATTATATAGTTCATAAAGTAAAGGTTGGCTTCAAAACTTGAATGAATGCACAAAAAAACTAAGTGTGAGGATCATTACATCCAGCATATTTGTGTAGCTTCTGATATCGTCAGCAGGCAGCAATAATTATTGAATAGCTATTGATTAATGTATTATGCCAGCTTTGTAGGTGGTATCTGCTCTCTAGAAGCTTGCATTTCATTTGCTATAAATAAACATACATTCAAGGAAAAGACTGTGTGTGTGTGTGTATGTGTGTGTGTGTGTGTGTATTAAATATGTATATGTTACATATATGTATGTACAAACATAAAAATACAAATACACATACAATGAGTGAAGCAAATACTGGGGATGCGAAAAGAAAGTGTACACATGTGACTTGTATTCATCTTTTGTTATTGGTATATACTGGGTATTACAATTTTAATACAGTTTTTTCCTTAAAATGCGTATACATTTTTTTTTTGGCCCCCTCTATTTGCAGAATGAAAAAAACATAGTTCATGCATATACTATGTCCAAGTTAGAGTGATAGGATCTGGCTGGAAAAAAGAATAAGTAAAAAGGAGATTGTTAAGAATTATTTTAGTAAACTTTCTCTAGCTTTTCATGGGACTTTTGGTTTGGTTTTGTTTTTATTTTTGATGCAAATTACATTTTTTTCCCTTAAAGCTTTTCTTTTAGAAACTTGCATTGACATAGTCCTTCTTAACTCTGTTGGTTCTAAAACAGGGCATAGTGGAATGGGAAAAGGAAAGTAATTTTACATAAAGAATGTTCTGTAGAATAAAACCATGAAAGTAGAGGACGAGTTCCCTGTGGGCTCTGTGATTGTAGCTGTCAGACAGAGCTGACCCTTCAGACTAAAGTTTCTAAATGTGAAGGATTACCTGCTCCCTAAGTAATGTTATCCGTTCCGTTCCTCCAAAAACCGTCTGTGAATATATCATATCAGTGGTTCACAAGTTTATATTTCCAGCCCTGACCTCATTTGTGAACTTGAGGATTATGTCACGAACTCTACTTGATACTTGCCTATCACACAGGGATGTCAGTCTTACCACATCCAAAACCAAACTTTTGACCTATTTCCCTCCCATTCTGCCCCTTCTCCAGTGCTCTGCATCTTAGTAAATCACCGCTCTCTCCCTCCTGCTGCTAGAGCCAGAGAAACCCACCGTCTCACTTAGCACCTTCCCCTTCCTTATCCTTCTCCCCCTGACTCATTAAGCCCATCCCAAAGCCACACTGATGCTAATCTCCATCGTTTCTCTTCTTGCCACAATTTACTCCATGGTACCGTGATCTCTTGCCTATATGAGGTGAGTAGCTCTCCCACTGGCCGTTTCACTGCTACTTTCTCGAGCCCTTAATCCACATTGCAACCAGAGTGATCATTTTAACATCAGGTGTATCACTTTTCTGCTTAAAACCTTTCCGTGGCTTTCCATTTGTTACAATAAAGACTTACATCTTTGTGAGGCCAACAGATTCCGCCTATTCATTCAACCTGCTGTGGACCCACTGGCCCAGTGCTAGGCGACATCTCATCTACCCTGGCCTTGTTTCATTTGCTTAAAAATACTTAACCCTCCCTCGCCTTAGTAGTGCACCTCTTGTGGCAGGCTTCTCCCTCTACCCATGACCTGGCTGAGTCTGCCCAGATTTTGGCTCAGGTGTTACTTCTTTATCTCCAAAACAACTGGAGGTAGCAATGTGACAGTGAAAGGTGGCAAAGGGAGAGTATTTCTAATGTGTTTTAATTGCATTATGTTGTCTCCTGGAAGACAGTAGGAAAAAGTGAGGGACACCAAAGAAAATGGTGAAGACACAGTGGCCTTCGGTTGGTTGGTTTTGGTTTTTCTCCATTTGGAAAGTTGTGTATGTGTGGCTAGAAAGATAACTGAACATCCAAAAAACATGCTTCTGCAAAATTAGGCCTATTCATCCAAAGAAAGAAAAAGCCAAGAATAAAGAATATGAAAAAATAAACATGTAATACATATCAAGGTATAACTTTATCACAGCCTAACTCCTAGAAGACATGAAAGTATTGAACTCAAACTAAAGAAAATATAGCTAAGAAGTTAGCGTAACATTTTAAGTAGAGCCTGCCTCTCCCAAACAAGTTTTTATTCTTGAGAATACAATGTGCATATGGACTAAAAAGAACGTATTTAGTATTAAATATATTTCTTAATCAGGTAACTGTTATCACAAAGTATAAAGAATATTAAGTATTCCATATGAATCAAAGAAGCTGAATATAATTATAAAGGCATGTACATTTCAAATATATTGGGTTGTCGGAAGAGTCATGACGCACTTTTGCAACGAAAAACATAGAAAAAATACGTCATGGCTTTTCCGACAACCCAATAGGTAGCAGACACTGGTATCCTATCTTCCTCTAGGATTTGGCCTTCCTTTTAAGTTTGTTATTTTAGCACACATGCACGAAATGTGTAACTGTGGATGACCTAGTGTCATACAAGAAAATACTTTTCAGGGTCAGTTAAATATTGTAAAATTTTACCCTGAGATTGTCTCAAGCTTGAAAAGAGGACTGCCTATCAAGAGCATTTTCCAGAAGGGTTCAGAATCATTACTAGCACTGTTGCTATAGAACTGTAATTATGGGAGAAAGTGTGTGTGTGTGTGTGTGTGTGTGTGTGTGTGTGTGTGTGTGTGTGTGTGTGTACACGTATGTATGTAAAACAGTTTGGTCTACTTCATTTAAAAGTTTAGAAGTAAATAATGCTCTTAATCTATAAAATAGAGTGGATATTTAGAATTTTTATCTTCTCGGAAAAATAATCTCGTGGTGCTTTATAACCCTATTTTCTAGGCTGCTTTGGAAGTCATCATTTTACTAATTTTCAAATATTTTAAAAGCTTTGTTTTGTAAAGTTACTTGATGTCACGTACTAGCACATGGAGTACGCCCACTGCACGTAAAGAAGCTGTAGGGAAGAAGGCCTTCACCCTTCCTTTCAGCTTCTCGGATAGTAAAGACTGTGTTCGTCTCGGATGCGTTTCATCCATTCCTGCACCGAGTGCTTGTTTGCCAAGTGCCTGCTGTGTGCTACACACAGTCTCCTCTGTTTCTGCAAGTTAGCGACGGAATTCTTGGTTCTTTATAGGAAGGTAGTTCTTTAAGAAACAAGAAGAGCTGAGGGAAAGGAGCCGAAAGTGTTGGGAGGAAAAGCATCAACCCGCCGATGCCTGTGTTGAAGGAACTTTTCACACTTACACGTTACAAAGTGTAAAGAATATTTAAATATGGCTCTCAAATCAAAGACTCTAAATGCAACGGCAAATGCATTTACATTCCAAATTTATGTGCTAGGCGCTGGTATCTTCCTTTAGGATTAGGCCTCACTTTCTAGTTTGATATTTTATTAAGGAAACGTACAGTTGCCTTAAGACTAATTGTGGATGTCCTGGTATCACACATCACTTTTCTCAGAGGTCACAAAAGGACCTGGATGTTTTGAAAAACAAGAAGATAAAAGAGAAACTAATTTTGACTGTTAAAGAACTGCTATTTGTGTATCATGTATGAGAATGTTACATTTAAGAGTTGGTGCCGGATGAGATTTTTCACTGGTTGGTAGTTTTTCAATGTCAGGTTATTTTTGTTTTATAAATGTATTTTTTCTAGCTTTCATGTCCTGAATTATTGAATACAAACTAAAATAAATGAAGTGAATGCTAATTATAAGTTAAATATTTAATCCCCAGTTTTCTCTTGTCAATAAACTTCTTTCTCTTCTTTCTTTTTTTCTTTCTACCTTTTTTCTTTTCCTATCTTTTTTTTTTTTTTTAGGACCTGGGGATACTGAAAGTGGGTCATATGAAGCGAATTCTCCAGGGAATTAAAGAGCTTGGAAGGAGCACTCCCCCAGTCTGAGGTGTAATCTTATTGGTGCTATTCCTTGGAAGGGAAGTAATTGCTACTTAACACACAGTCCTTTGAAGCGGTTGGCTGTTCTGGTAGTTTTCTGCTTAGAGAAGTTAGCACCACTGAGGCACCTCTACAGCTTGATAGGTTGGTGTGGGTGAAAAATTTTGATTTGAGGTATTAGAAAATATTTTTGTGCCAAAAAGTACATTCCACAAAGCCATTTTCTTAGTTTGCAAACTTAACATGTTCAAGTATGTTCACATTAGTGAAGTACTAGGAAGAGCTGGAGACAACTGCATTGTCCAAAGGGGGGAATTGCAAAATGTTTCCTTTCCTTAACCTGGGCGGATGGAACGTTTTTACTGTGCAACCGCACAGCAGTATGTGGCTACGACTCTTTAGGTCTCGGATTGGAGGTGTTGGCTTCTTCCTTAAAACCACTGAGAAGGGACTAAGGTCTAAATTAAGTTGTGTTTTGAATATTAGATTGACATCACCTCAGATTCCTAGCGCTCCGTGGTCAGAGAATACGGCCCAGTATTATGAATGAAGGCAAATCTCTGCCTGAATTGTCTTTCTCTTTCTTGCATGTCACATCTAATATCGTAACCCTTAGTTTTAATGTCAGTTTTCATGGAGTTAATTTATTACTACCTAAGTACCTTTTCGTTAGCTAAAGGCACTTTTCTGTTCTTTGACGTGGACTTTTGCATAAATATTCTGTATCTGAGAATTTGTGAACATGTGTCTGTGCCATAATCAACAATGATACACATCTTCTGCAAGTCAGCTTACGTCAGCCGAACATAAACAGTAGGTATGCGTGTGAAGGAAATTCTCCGGGTATTTCCATAAAATGTCATGTTCTGTCGTCTAACAGCACTTACCATGCTTTCTGAACCAAAATTCCCACATTGTGTCCTTATTTTTCCATTTCAATTTAATAATTACTTAATGCTCTGTTTGCACTTATACTATAGCAGATGGCTGACATTCAGGCACTTCTCCAAGGTCTCACCAGGGATCTGTGTACTGATTGGTCGCCCAGACCCTCACCCACTGGCTACTCTGGACCAAACTTTCCAACAGAAGAAATTTTAATTTGTTCTTAAGGGCTTTACATTGTTATTATTATCTCACTTAATTCTTTTATCCTTCCAGGTAGATATTATTTTTCTAAACCACTGTACTTTAGTGTAAGCTAATTAGGAGACAACATTACAATGATTAAATCTTTGAAAGCCAAAGGCATACATATCAAAAACTCATAAAAATATCCTCAAATAAACTTCTTTTAGATAGCCTATTCCAAAAAATTAATCATACCGGTTATATTTAAAAATCTTCTATATAAGAGAAGTAAACAGGGTACTGACCCAGTGGTGACAGTTTTCATAAATTAACCTTCTAGGGAGGTGCTCAATAGATGCACATACACACACTATATACATGTACACATATATCTGTATATACACACATATACATTTATGTGTATAGTCACACACATAAACGTGAAATATACACTCTTTGCTGTTTTCTAGACAATTATTTTCAGCTGAATGCTGAAAGATTTTGATGGGAAAGCATTTAAAATGAACTATTGTCAGACAGCTAATTTGATTACATCAAAGGAGTTTAAATATTTGACACTTTATTCTTATTTATAACTTTAATATTTAACTACTAGTAAAATCATAAAATTTGGATATCTTAAAAATAAATGAACCCGATGGGTTCCTGATCATGTGTATCGGACTATATAGTTTACCTAAGTTGTGAATAAATGGACATTTTCCAAAAGGAATGACATCAAGTAGCTTAATAGAGTAAAAAGCTACTCACAATAATGTTAATGTTATCCACGCCTATGAAACCAAAGGCCTTTTCCTGTCCCTGTGATAGGCCCCCACCCTGCAAGGTGTTCGTTTCTTCTGGCACTTCCTGTGAAATCGGAATAGTCGATGCCCGGTTCTCAGAACTCAGCCGGCATCACAGCTCTCCCTCTGCCCAGCTCTACCAAAAAAGGAAAGGTTGGTGGAGAGGAAGGAGGCAAGGAACTCTAAAAAAAACAAGGAATTAATATAAATATCTTTATTGATTTTCACTCCCCCAGTTTACCCCTTTGCCAGATTCTCAAGCTACTACATTTTCAAAATTCAGAGTAAGATATAAATGATGTTTTTTTTGTTTAGTGTTGATCTTTCACTCTTAGATAACATCTGTTATATAGACTGTAAAACCTCAGTTGATGGAATCCTTAGCTAGAATTTTCCTGCAGACAGCTTTTGGATGAGGGAAAGCCTTTAAAATGACAATTTTGATAACTTTGTTGTTAAACGAGCACTTTTTCCTGAATGCTTTGTCCGTGCGTGGCTGTGTAGGACCCAAATGGTTTCACTTGCACCTGTTTGCCAGGCTGGTGCCCTCGGAGCCTCCTGAGGGCCCTGTCAGTATCACAGAGGAACCAGCTTCTCCTAACATATGGGGTTCCAAAGACAGTGGGAGGAGCTCTGCGTGGGGTCTGATCACAGCTCTGGGGAGTGCAGGGGCGGGGTCTCTGTGCCCTGACCACACAGCTGGGTGAGTAGCCCAGGCCTGCTCCTGATTACCAGCTGTAATTGCCACCTTTCTGCCCCACATGCAGATAATTTGGGAGGGATGGAGCCGAGTCCAGCCAACACCCAGCCACTTTCAGTCTCATTTTCCTGAGGAAGAACTCACAGTGATGGCTGCTGGGATTCTCACTGCTGTGGACCACCCTGTCTGCATCAGCTGTCCCACTGCAAAATGACTCCTTTCGCCTCTCCCCATCTTAGCCCCCATCGTGAGTCATCTAGTCAAGTTTTAGGAAGAAAACAATTTAAAGAAACTCCTTTTACAGTTTGCATTTTACAAAAGGAAACTTGCTAATCTAAACGGGTTAGATAATTTGAGTACCGTGATATGTATTGCTGTGGCTGAGAAGAGGGGATCCCTGAATGTCTAGACATGTGCTGTCCGATGTCATAGGCACTAGCCACGTGTGGCTGTTTAAATCTACATTAACGAGACATTTAGTGTCTCAACTGTACGAGCCACATTTCAAAGGCTCAGTAACCATAGTGGACAGTACTGATTGTTGACCATCCGTTTCCATTGTTGCAAAAACGCTGGATAGTAGTGGTCTAGAGCAGGGGTCGGCAAACTTTTGAGACGGAAGAGCCACCACCGTAAGTCAGCAAACTGCGGCTCACAAGCCACAGGCTCTGAAGTAAACTTGAAAATGAAAATAAAACTATCATAGTTTTATTTATAAAATTTTTAAAGGATATTATTCACATAATGGTGATTATGTAAAAATATATTTATAGCTCTCGAATAATTTTTAAATTGTTGCGAGGGACAGGATTGGCTCTTCCAGGGGTCAGCAAACTTTTGAGATGGAACGTACCCAAAGAGCTGCATGTGGCTCGTGAGCCGCAGTTTGCCGACCCCTAGTCTAGAGCATTGCTACTCAAAATGTGGTCGACGGACCGGCGGCATCCTTATCATCTGGGACCTTCCAGAAATACACAATCTCAGATTCACACAGACCTACTGAATCAACACCTTTTAACAAGTTTTGCCAGGTGATAAGCACTGGTCTAGATACATTTTATCCCTCCTAGATTTGAGGGACCTGAGGTCTTCAAAAGGTCCTCAGAATAGCCAGTGTCCTTTAGATTCCCCTGCTAATTCCGTAAACGAGCTGACACGCATTCGTCACCGTAGCTGAGCCAGCTTCTCAGTCCTTATTCCTAATTCTGGCTGTAGGTGAGCCCTACCTACAATAGTGGGTATATTTTGGTAGCTAAAGTGGACACAGGAGATTGGCTGCCAACACAGCTGGCCTCTCTCCAGCCCCTCACCCCTTGTCTAAGTCACTCAGTTTGTTGCTCCTGCGTCATTCTCGTTTGTTCACAACTTAAGTCACAGGGAACATTTCAGAAGACTATGTACTGAGATAAGTAAAACCGGGTCAGTCTCCTACAACTTGTGCATTTTCACTTTCTCTTATAAGTAGATTATCCTGTTGACATAGTTTACGCTTGAGGACACGTAGCAGCACACACGTTACGTGAATCATTAGGCATGAAAAAAAAAAAAACAAAACGATTGCAAATAAAGTGAATATTTCATTAAAGCCCTTAAAGAAGGCATGTTCATTAGACTAAACCTGTTTTTCTTACTGTGCTAACTTATTTTGATTTTCAGATAGCTAATAATTTCTTAAAATAGTGCCTGAAAAATACTGTTTCATATTCTTTACCTTCAAAATACAAATTGCTTAATTCTATAAGATCTTTTCTAATGACTTACTGTCAGTAATCCTTCACTTAATTTTTACAAATTGATATAATTTAGCAAAACATTACTGCCTAGAGATCTTCAGCTAATTTTCATGAGTAAAGAGGGCACTACTTTAGCCTTTGTGGAATTTATTTTGAACAGGAATTGAGGAAGGAAATACTCATGCAGAGCTACGACTTAGAAAATTATAGCAGAAACTTATACACATACTTCTGAAGTAAATTATCTGTTATCTCCGACGGGGCTGACAACACAGTGCACTTTCTTGTTACACAGATATGAACTCTTTAAGGAAATAGCTTTTCATTAAGTTATAAAAACATTACACCTCTCAACCTTGACATCCAGGATTTCTCCTGCCCTGTTTCCCCCCTCCCAAAATAAACTCATCCTGCATTTTTCACATGCAAATTGGATAACACAGTAGGTTTAGAGATTGATGATACGAGTGGCAGTTTTAAAACACCAAGTTCTTTAAATCAGCTGAAAAGAGTGAGAAGTGAAGATTCCTCAAATACTGTTAGTCAATGGACTAGCCTCCCCCTCGGGTCCCAAGGTGCTTGGCTGCCACGCCCCTCCCTCTCCTCACAGCTCCACCCCCTCATGCCCCTCCCTCTCCTCAGTTCCACCCCCTCCTCACGCCCCTCCCTCTCAGTCCCACCCTCTCTTCTCACAGCTCCACCCTCTCAGGCCCCTCCCTCTCAGGGCCGCGTGCCAAGCGCAGTGGGGGCCTAGGACTTGTGTCAGCTATGGGAGCTCCCCAATGACTTTATAGCAATCTCTGTCAGATGGGTAATATGTTGCCTTTTCAATAGGATGCCTTCCTAAAGAAACAAAACTTTAAAGGGGTCGTGATTATTGGTTTTATAAGCAAAATGTTAATTTTTAATCTTTTTTATTGTTTTTATTTTCGCCGTTTTGTTTAGAGACCATTTCTGTTAGAATAAAAAGCTATAAAGGTTTATTATAGAGAACAGTGAGGTAAGAGACAGCTGGACTGTACCTGTTTGTATACTTTATTATTTTCAGGAATAGAAGTTTAACAGTAACTGAGACTGCATTAAACTCAGTAACAATGTTTAAAAAATTACTAATATAGGTGAACAGATTAATTTTCTTTATGTAACTAAGATATTCTATTTACATATATTTATATCCTCCCAATTTCTTATGCACTTCCAAGTTTTCGTTGGAAAAATAGAAACGAAGCCACTACTTAAAAATTCTAAAATAGTCACATATTTCATTTTAGCTAAAAGTTATTCATTACATAGGAATTTATTAATCTGGGTATTTCATAGGAACTGCATTTCAAGAGTAACTTAGCCAAACTTAAAGGAACATAGGGTTACTTTAAAAATGTATTAAGATAAATTTTATACTCAGTTAATGATGCCATTGAAGTAGGATAATGCAATTAGATATACAAGCTAAAAATGAAAAAGAATATATTTTGTGGTCCTTACTGTTTGATTGCACTATTATTTACCACAGCTTAACCATGTCTATTTCTGTATTCTAAGTATTAAGCTAATATGTAACTAAAGATTTCTTACAGTTCTGGTAACTGGTAACTAGTGCTGTGAAAGGTTTTGGTATTGTAACATTCCCAGTTTTGTAAATTATATATTGTATATTGAAGATGACTAATAAATTGGAGTAATATATTTATCTAGAGCTGGGAAATATGATAATTATTTTCAAATCTTCAAGTAAGTTTTATCAAATTTTTTTCTTCCTGTTAAGGGGGATAAAAGTCTCACTTTTCTGTTAAAATGTCTATTTATACAACAGGTTTCTCCTTTTATTGGTTTTCTTAATTTTCATATTAGAAATTTTCTTATCTTTTTTATACCAAAGTAATTATGCTGGTTATTCAAACTGCCAAGGTGTATTTTAGTTTGCTGGACTTTTGGCAGATAAAATATTTAATAACAAACCAGCTTTGTATATTTTGTGGCTTTGGGGGCAAGAATTTTACCTTTGACTCTCTTAAGTGGGTTAGTGCTGTTATCAGCAAGGTCACTAACAGACAGTATTACTTGTAATCAGTAGAATGTTTTCACAAGTTGTATAAATCAGTGCATTTATTTATTATATTGTGAAATTTAATCTTTATACAAAATGCATATTCTAGCTTTTTTCTTGTTACTGCTGTCGCTTGGAATGTAATAGCGCGGTTAATGATTTGCTTACGTACTTGAAGTACTCATTTCTGTCAAACAGATGCCCAGTTGTTTTTTTTCCTTGTAAAACATGATATTCTCTGCCATCATAGGTAACAGAGTAGTAATAGGGATTTTGTTAAAAAATAATTTTCATGTTTAAAATAAATACGGAAAAAGGCATAAAGCCAAAATGAAATCACCACTTTTAAGAATTGAATGTAACCAAGGAATTTATTGTGCTATATTTTGTGAATTCATGTGTAGTTTATATTTAAGTCAGAACTTCTTTTCTGTGGTAAATTTTCAATTTTTATTGTAAAAGAAATCTCAGTGATTATACTGCCAACATTCAAATATGCATTAAGATATGAACCCCCCAAAGTATCACATACCTCAAGCAGCTAGCTCTAGGTTCCAGGGTGTATATTTTTAACACATTTGCATTTGACTCGGGGCTACTTTACAGATAGTAACCATGATGGATAATGGTTTGTTTGTTTCTGTCAATTAAGTCAATGGGATTTTTTTTTCCCAATGGGATTTTAATTGAGTTTTGAGTTATTTTGTTTAAAAGTATTCTCTATTCAACTGTTTAAGAGACTACAAAATCCAAAACATAATGGCACAACATACCACACAAAATAAAATCACATGAAGAAAAGAAAAAAAGCTGTTCTGACTTAAAGGTGAGGCAGTGTTGTATACCAAAGAAATCTTTTTAACAAGTCCTAAATTCAGTTTTATTGTTTTACAGTATAAGCAGTCGATGAATTGTGAGCTATTTAAGAACTACAGTAGGTGATTAAGGATTGACTATAATTTTAAAGACAGAGTTTTATATTAATCTTACCATTACACAAGCAATATTGAAGTCAGGAAAAAAATATATGTGAAAAGCCTTATATGAATATTAAAGGAAATTGAAGCTCAACTTGGTCATGTTGGGAAGATTTGGAAATGAATAGTTTGAAGGTAGATATCTTTCACCTTACATGATGGAAGCACAAAACACATGTGAGATATGTGGTAGACACAATACCACAAAAACAAAAGATGCCACCACCCTGGTGAAGTCTGAGACCCTGGTGAAGTCACTAGCCAGTGAGTTTGGGGGCCCATTCTACTGTGGAAATTTAGGAGTCAGTTGAACAGTAGCTTGGATGACCTACTTAATTATTTGTCTTTCTTACACGAGGCCAGTGTCTGTGCTTGGTCAACTTACCGATTTATGTCAGGAGAACTAGTCGGAAGGCTTCGTAGTTCCTGTAGAAGAACTTTGAAACCATTGAGATCAGACCACACCTTTCAGACTAATGAGATTTTTACGTACTCGCCAAGCCTTGAAATTTGTGGCAATGATAGACTTTCCTTTCACTGGAAACAACAAAAAATTATTAGCACTTACATAGCTGAATTCTGTGACTCTGGAGATGGGAATATGGTTAGGTTTACTGGGTTCCATGACTGGCACTGGCTCTCTGTCCTTTCTACAAACTGTTGTGCCTCAGTTTCCCCAATTAGAAATGGCACACAATATTATCAATTATAAGTACTGGGAATTTTTATTTTACAAAAGGAACTATGTAAGTGTGAATCATACCTAAATTTACCATTTCTTTCCCACTGCCATTTGAAATATAAACACTTCCAAGACTATAGCATGAAAATGAAAAGTCCAAATTAATATCCCTTGATATTCAGCTTAAAAAGGAGCATGAAGTGGCGTTAATACTGCCTGTA